GTCAGACGGGAGAGGGGAATATCAATCACAGAAGTTCAAGGACTAATGTACCTGGCGGAAAGAGGCATCAAAAGGCTCATCTCCCTTCCCTACGCCCATCAACAGCAAGGCGTGGCAGAAAGAATGAACAGGACTCTTCAGAACACCATGCGCAAACTGTTGCGTGGCATGCGGCTACCCAACCACCAGTGGCCCGAGGCGATGGACCACGCTATCATGCTGCACAACTTGCTCTCGTCATCATCTCGTCATCAACGCATCACCACACCTGCTATGGACAGGGAAGTTGGGCAACACAAAAATGTTATGAGTGTTCGGCTGCATGGTACATTACCAACCCCCAGCCGTACGAGCCGGCCGATTCTCTCAACGCGCACAGTGGGGAGTACACATGGGCATTGAAAAACATTACAACGCATGGAAGATTTTCGACGTCCACTCAAAGGAAACAGTGGCAGCACGTGACATGATTTTCTACGAACGACTCACCCTCCAAACATTTTTTGCGATCCTGGAAGAAGACCGAGACCCCACAAGTGGATTCCATGGTGACCGAGCCTTCTCTTCGGCAGTGGATGAAGCTGACTGGGACGAGAAGAACGTGGACGGAGCTTCGGAGGAAGCCGGACCACTTCCTTACTGTTCGGTCGACGTCCCAATGGACGACGAAAACCCTCGCGAAAGCATCAATGCCAAAGTCTATTACCACTTCGCAGACAACGGTTACGTTACACCTGCAAGAGTCAACACCGACGAAGCACAACGCGTAGGACCAAATTTCGTACCTGATCCAGAAGCGGGAGACGAAGCAGTCTATACCGAGGATACAACTCTCCCTCGCTACACACAGAGTGGACTCCAGATACTTGGACTCGTCACCGCAGTCCACGGCACGACGCCACCTAAGGAGCCTGCCACAGTTCAGCAAGCTATGGGGGGGGAGCACAGAGAAAAGTGGCGTGAAGCCATGGACAGGGAATTGAAAGCGCTCGAAGAACGCAACACCTGGAAAGTCGTACCCATCGGAGTGGCACGCAATAAAACCATTCTCACCGGCAAATGGGTTTTCCGCGTGAAAACGTTGGCAGACGGAACCATCGACAAATTTAAGGCGCGCTGGTCACCAAGTTCGTAGAGAACGAGGGGAGGTGAAGACCTGACAGTGAGCCAGACGGAACCGCTGGACATGGGAGAATAGTGGAAGAACGTGCAAGAACCGGTCCCCCAGAGGGGTCAGCCAGAGAGACTTCAACTGGTGCTGCGAGTGGTGTGACTGTGGTGCTGTTGCGAAAGAAGCAGCAGGAAGCACCTGAGTCAAGCGTGAAGGTGTGCAAGGCCTCAACAGGCGCAGTACCAGAGAGAGCAGACTCGCCAACACCTAGAGCAGACTCACCAGCACCTAGAGCAGCAGCCTCTATACCAGGGTCTGGCGGGATGACTGTTACGCAAGTTTGACCAGCCCGATCACCTGTGCGAATGACGTACGGGCAGGGAGCACTACTCTGAGACGCCCCATGCTGAGCGAACCACTCACGAAGTTGCTGGGGCGTAAGGGTCTCGCGCGGACGCCGCTGCAGCTGCATCTGGCCACCGCCAGAAACTCCCCTCTGAACAGCTCCACGCGGACTGCCACTACTGCCGCCGCCACTACCCCAACTAGCGTACCACTCATGAAGCTGCTGGGGCGTGAGGGTCTCGCGGGGACGTCGCTAGAGCTACAGCTGGCCACCGCCGGAAACTCCCCACCGATTAGCTCCACCGCGACTGCCACTACGGCCGCCGCCACCACTCCCACTGCTGCCACCGCCGCCGCCACCACTCCCACCGCTACCACGAAGAGGCGTCATAGCGGGCAAAGTAAGGAGGTGTGCGACCAGCACGGCATCACACAGGGAAGGCAGGGCGGCGAGCAGGTACTAGGGTAGGTCGGGGCGGAGCATGGTCGGGGAAGGGCTTGGCGGCACGGCAGCGAGCGGCGCGCGGGCATGGCAGCGCAGCGCGGCAGCGAGCGGCGCACGGGCAGGGTGGCGGCACGGCGGCGAGCGGCGCGCGGGTAGTGAGACGCGGCGGCGAGCGGCTCGCGGGCAGGGCAGGCAGGGCAGGGCGCGCGGCGGCACACGGTGCGCGGGCAGGGCTGCGGCGCGGCAGCGAGCGGCGCGCAGGCAGGGCAGGCGGCGACGCAGCGAGCGACGCGCGGGCAGGGCACGGCGCGCGGCGGCGAGCGGCGCACGGGCCAGGCAGGGCGCGCGGGTGGGGCAGGGTGCGCGACGTCGTGCGGCGCGCGGGCCGGGCAAGGCGCGTAACGGCGAGCGGCGCGTGGGCAGGGCGACGAGGCGGCGGCGAGCGGCACGCAGGTAGGGCAGGCGGCGCACGATGGCGAGCGACGCGCAGGCAGGGCAGGCGGCGCGCGGAGGCGAGCGGCGCGCAGGCAGGGCAGGCGGCGCGACGGCGAGCGGGGCACGGGTAGGGCAGGGCGCGCGGCGGTGAGCTGCTCGCGGGCCGGGCAGGGCGCGCGTCAGCGAGCGGCGCGCGGGCAGGTCGACGCGGCGGTGAGCGGCGCGCAGGCAGGGCACGCGGCGCGGCGGCAAGCGGCGCTCGAGCAGGGCAGGGCGCGCGGTGGCAAGTGGCGCGCGGGCAGAGCAGGGCGCGCGGCGGCGAGCGGCGCGCGGGCAGGGCGACGCGGCGGCGAGCGGCGCGCGGGCAGGGTGACGCGGCGGGGAACGGCATGCGGGCAGGGCAGGGCAGGGCAGGGCGTGCACGGGCAGCGCGACGGAACAGGGCGCGCGCGGGGCAGCGCGACGCAAGGCAGGGCAGGGCAGCGCTATATGGGTACAAGATGGGTATAAGTACTAACCCTAAATTGGGTTGTACTCCATATGGGCTACCCCACTATTGAGTTTGACAGGAGAGCATATGGACAGGCGGAAGCAGACAACATCAGGCAGCTGCAGGAGCAAGGGAATTGGCGGGAACAGTTTCGTAACTGCACGCGCCGCACGGTTGGGTGTGAATTTGAATAAGGGAATGTACCCCTTCGAGTACATGGCTAGCTAAGACGTTTGGTATTCCCGCTGTAATCTTATTTATACGCATGTATTTGCATGTGTTGATCATCTCAATCATTTTACATTCACTCTGATTTGAGGTCAAGGGCCCACCACTACCACATACTTTGTGCAAACCTTTCCGAGGTGATCCTTGTTACGATCTTCTTTTGATTGCAGCAAATTACAGCCTCAAAGACGGGTTGCAACTCGCTAGAGCACATGGTTCAAAGATTAAGGCAGCACCCTCACCGTACGTGCTGGTGAGGTGAGCCCATGTTTGCCATTGTTACCATTTCTCTCCCTATTTCCTCACCCATCTCCTTGTCCCCAACCCCGGTACTTGAGGCAACTGTCTTTAAAACCCGGGTCTCATACTTGGTATTCTGGGTTTGGTCGCCAAAATACACCCCCGTTGGTTTGGGCCCTCGCAACAAAACGACTCCAGGGTTGCACACAGCTCAATGTGGCTCAGGTTCAGGCCTGACACTGCCCACCCGCCGACGAACACCCTGCACCCCAACCATGCTGCTAAGCCTCCCCGCGCGACAAAAAAAAAAACAGTAACATGTGCTGTGCGACGTCGAACACAGCCCACGACCTTGCCACCAGAGGTGGTGATTCATTAGATACTTAACCTTGGAAAGCCGTCCCCTGAGGAGCTCGTGAAGCGGTACTATGCATGCGGAATCTTGAACAGCCTCAACGACATCTAAGACCACCACAGTCTTGCCCATCGAAAAGGGTGAGGTGGAGGTGTTGGACAATGTTCATGACACGGGTGACGATGAGGTCACCAACCCATTCTACACTGAAGTCGAGATGCCGCTCACCCTCCACCTCCACCTCACCCTTCGAAGGGTGAGGACGTGAAGACCTGGTAGTACTGGGATGGTGGTGAGAACTTTAAGGAGCTCTTCGATGACTTCAGGGAGCAAGTGTCGGTACCAAGCCTCTGTTTTGGTATGAATTCTCGTATCTGTGTGTGGTGTTTTGGTGGACTGCAGGGCTGAGGTTTGGATTTTGCCTACTCACGATCGGCAGTGTGGCGTTTTCAAAAACCCTTGCGAGCAGTGTGTGTTTTTACAGTACACGGATAGAGCAGTGTAACCTTTAGTCTTGAAAATTTTGCACCAGGTCATCAGTGTAGATTTATGCTGTGCACTGATGCATGTACGCTAGTCTTAATTCATTACACGTGACCTATTGAACAATTAAATTATTGTCACTCAATCTCCATCATGCTCGTCCTCGCTGTCAGACAATTCAACTATTGCCTTGCCCTTTCCAGCACAGGGCTTGTACGGGGCTGGTGTTTTCGCGGGTCTCCTCTTCTTTTGCTTCCGCCAGATCTCGACCACGTCTGGCCATTGGTACTCATAGTCCAGCATGTTGAGGGTCATCAGCTCGGATAGATGGGCGTCGCCGAGCGATGTGCGCATCCAGCTTTTGATGACATTTTGACGGCTGAATACGCGCTCGCACTCCACGGTGCTCAACGGAATCACTGTAAGCGCCTGCCACATCGACACCAGGTTGGGGAAGCTGTGTAGCTAGTCCTTGGTCTTCATCATCTTCGAAAGCCCTTGGTAGAAGTCTTCATCCTCGTAGTGGCGTGACATGACGTGGCAGAAGCTCTTCAGTTCCAGCTCCACCGCACGGTGGTTGAAGCCTGCCACGTGAACATAAAACAAAAATTCACAATCAGTAGTGTTCCAACTTCGCACTAGCAAACAACACATGCAGGGAGATTGACTGCCACGTGAACATCAACACACCCGGCAGCCTGTTCTTGAAGACATGCGCATTGGCATCCAGCCACTGTACCACCCGTCGCTCCCGCTTGTCTGTCGCATCTGGCCACGACTCCACCTTGTACAGCTTGCTGCCCTCCATGTCCTTCAGGCTGTACATGTGTGTGTGCAGATTTGTCGCCACCTCCAGCGCAAACGCCTTTCAAAGCTTGATGCAGTCGGCCATCGATCTGCCAAACTTGTGCCCTTTTATCGGCTCCTCGCTCAGCTCTATCTCATGCAATGTTGGCTCGCCCTCCATATCCACGTCGTCCACTTTGATCTTCATGTTCCCGCTGGCCATACGTGCGATGAATGGCGACACCAGCTTGCTGACTCCCCCTCCAAAACCGTTGTCGTATTCCACAAAGCGGTGCCTGATGCAGGCAATCGTGCGGTCCACCTCCTGGTGCATGAGCGTGATGTCAACCTGAGATTGAGGCGGGAACAAGAAGATTGCGTTATAAGGTTTTTCAATTTTGGCAAAATGAAAGCACAGGAAACAGCAACGATCGCATCACTTACTTTCCGTCGCTGGAAGAATTTGTTGAGGGCGTTGATCTCCGCTAGAAGATCCGCCAAGAAGTAGACGCAGAAGTGGAACTTCAGCGTCTGAACCATGGTGGCCAGCTTGTGGTCGTACTCAATGAACACCACGACCGCCGCACCAAGGACCTTGCACAGCCTCTGCACAGCATCTCCACGCGACAGCCACCTCACGTCAAAAAGCCTCTGGTGCTCCAGGTTTGTTTTGTGAATTTCTTGCTACAGCTCCTTGAAGCGCTCATGCCAAACGGACGACTTCGTGACTATGTCGCCAAGCCCTCGGATTGCAGTGTCGACGATGTCGAGGTCTTTGTACTTCAGCGCCGAATCCTTCACCGCTAATACTTCTCTACACAGTAAAACTCACGAGCATTAGGCCACTAGTATTTGTAGAATTCAACAGCCAGTGATGAGTGTAAACGCTACATACCTATGTGCAATGCAGTGCGTGCCGACGAGATGAGGGATGCGCTCACGGAGGCCCACCACAAGCCCCCTCTCGCAGCCAACCATCACACCCGCGCCGTCGGTGCTGATGGCGACGATCCTCTACACATCTAGGCCGACGGTCTCCAAGTGGCCCAATAAGACGGTGAAGATTGAAGCAGCGTCACACTTGTGGACGGTTAGCAGTGCAAGGAACTCCGTCGCCACCTGACGCTCCTTCAAGAAAGTCGCAAACACCACCAGATGCCTCCCGCGCGCTCTGTCCGTGCTCTTATCACAGGTGATGTCGATCCAAGGTGACGCGTGTATGTACATCAGTTGTTGCTGTTGCTGATAAGTGCACATCGCCTTCACCATCTCCTGAAAACCGTACTTGCAAGAAGCGCATACATGGATTAGACACCGCATATATTGTAAACACACACTAAACATGGGAAAATGCACTGTACTCACTCTGTGATGGAAACACCGTAGCTCTGTTGAGAGATGTCGGAAACACCCTCCCTGGCCAGAAACTCCACGAGGCGCGGGTACATTGAGATCGATGCATCCTCCGCACCCTCAGGGTCGGCTCTCTCGTAGTCGTCTATTTTCTTCTGCGCCGCCAACTTGTCGAGGAGCCCCCTTTGACGGTCGATGCACTCCTCGTGGCGAGTGCTTGCCTGGAGCGCCCGCATCGACGCTGGCTTTAGGTCGCGTCCGCCGCATCCATTCCTCCCGTAGCGTGCGTTGTTTGGGCCATGTTCACTACACACACTGCAACGCAAGCGAGGCAGGCCATCCTCACCCTTGTCGAGCAACAGCCAGTCAAACTGCGGGAGCCATTTCGTGATGTAGTTTCGTTGAGCCTCCAGGAACTTCGCTTCAGCGCGTTTAGCTGCGGTCAGCTTGAGAGGAGACGGCGCTGGAGGGACAGTGGGAGGTGGCGGAGGAGGAGGTTTCACGAGAGGCGTGCCGGTGCCGAACCCAATGGTAGTCTGCGTGTAGCGGGGCCGTTTCAGCGCCACCGAGTTAGAAGACTCTGGTGCTTCGGTAGCAATCTTCGTCGTTTCCACGTAGTCGCGTACGACGGGGTCCGCCTCAATGCGTAAGGGACGTTGCCAAACAGCATCCTCGTTGTCTAGCTCCTGCTGCCGCGGTGGTGACTGTGGGGCAACTTAGCGCATAGGATATTGCCACCCCTCACTGTCAACAGAGGGCTCAGGCAAATGGTTGGGTGCAGCTTCTGTAACATGGCCTCGCAAGAAATCGAGGCCAGTCCTAGGCCTGTTGCTACTGGAAGGGTCTCCATCACCAGCGTTGGCATCGTCCAGGTCTCCAGGCGCTGCCATGGCAACGAGGTGGACGTTGCTCGGTTGCTAGGGAGAGTGGGTAAAACATGAGGAACATTGGGGTGGTGGTGGAATGACAGTGCAGGGAGATGTCGCTAGCTGTGCTTGCCATACCAGGCCTCACGTTTTCAGAGTAAATTACTCTGTTTCTCTGGAAATCAGAGTCATTTTTGAAAGTAACTCTGTACCCGCTGGGTAATTTTTTTGGGACTTCCTATTTCTCTGATTTGTCAGAGTTATGCTGTAGTTTACTCTGAGGCCTCTGGGTTTTTTTTTCGGGGACCGAATTTACTCTGTATAGGGAATACCTGCCGGCCCCCCCTCCCCCGCCCCCCTCCCCTCCCCACCTCCCCCTGCGTTTAGCGGGTTTTCCCCGAATCGTCGAGATCATTCTCCTGATTTCTGTCGTGTGTTGGCGGCAATATGAGCACTGATTGGCTACCGTAGTTTGACAACTTTCCCAACCAGCGCACGATGCCAGCCAGTCCCCTCTCTCTTTATGTCTGAAGTGAACGTCAACGTTTCCCGACGAAACTTTGAGGGACGTCGAGGAATCCTGACGGTCGGAACGCTCAATCCGAGGGTTGAGATTCGCCAGCATTCCCCGACGAAACTGTACATCCGTCATATTTCACTTCAGACACGCTCTTTGGGGGTGTCCGAAGTGAAACGTCGACATCCGTGGACATCCGTTTGGGGATGTCGGTAAATCCTGACGGTTGGAACTGTCGATCCGAGGGATGACATTTACCGACATCCAGCGACATCTATTGACGTTTCACTTCGGACACGCCCTTAGTCAGATTATCGGTGCCGCCAACACCTCACTCTGAAACATCGCAGTGAGGGGGGAAACGTGGGCGACGCGGAAATGCAAGTACAAAAGGCGTAACAAAAACCTATTAAGGTCATGGTACACCAAACTTAACTAACATCAGAGTAGAGAAAAATATTACTCTGACGTGCCTGGGTTTTTTTTTGAAAGTATAGGGTTACTCTGACAAAACAGAGTAAGGCGCAGGAACAACCCTAGATTTCAGAGTTGGGAAAAAAACTACTCTGGAAATCAGAGTACCTAAAATCCAAAAATAGGCCCTGTGCCATACCGACAAGGCAATGCATCCAGACATCAACACCGCGAGCACCACGGTCGGTAACACGGATAGCATCTGTACGCACCGACAGTCTGAATGTGGTCCTAGTGATTACACCAAGTTCAGGCAGCATTACTGTACTTGCTGCCAAACCGGAGTTTCGTGGCGAGCTGGCAAGGGAATTATTCCTAACTGACCAATCGGACGCGTGACTGCGGACGTCCTGAATGGAAAGTAACCTCAGTACTTGCGTGATTGACGGAAATCACGATCTGACATTTTCAGGGGATTTAGGGGGGGAAGAGGGGGGGGGAGGGGGGGGGGGGGGGGGGGTCCTGTACGCCCTTCAGTGTGAACTTAGATAACAAAAATTTACCCAGCAGCATCAGTGTGGCCTACAACGATACACTTACAGATCAGTGTAACACAGGTTCATAAAAATTTTACCCCAGCACATCAGTGTAGACAAAAAAAATCACCCTTCTCATCAGTTCAGAAGGGTAAAAAACACTGATAACCTGAGCCCTGGTGGACTGCGTGTTACGACCCATAAAATTGCACTATTCTTTCAGGATAAGGGGTCCAAGCTCCACTCTACAGAAGCATACAAGCTCCGTGGCTAACGCATACAGCCATGACAAACTAAGGCAGCAAAGTAGTATCCAGAATCAGCCAAACACCAACCACCAACCAGCCAAACACCCAAAAGCCTGTCTCAACAACGCTCTTTATCTCATCTCCTATGCCTTCTTAAACTGGCCACGCACTGCGCCATCAGGGTACCGCTTTGTAAGGATGTTTCCATAAAAGCTCGTCGGCCTCTCATCGATTGCCACCAGTGCGGATCTGAGGTCGTCCCACAGCCTTATCTCGCGCATCCCCAGCGAACCCTCGCACCGCCAGAGCTTGCGCCTGCCCTGCTGTTGCTGGCGCACATAGTGGCAAGGCAAGTCGATCACCCTCTCCCCATTCCAGCCTTTGTGTGCCGCGTGTATCTGTGTCTTGGTTGGGGCTGAGTATCCCTCCAGCCCCACTGCAATCACTTCGTAGTTCATCCCGGTGGGGCCCTTGTCGTCCCTTCAGCAGTAAGGAGGCAAAAGCAGGGTCACTAGGGCGGTTAGGTGGACAAGACGGAATGGCCAGGCAACAAGTCGTGGAAAAATACTGCGACGAAGGACGTCACATAATGTACTTGAAACGCGTGAAAGAGAGGAGGGACAAGGGAAGAGGGGAAATGGTACTTGTAAATCTTGAGCCGCATAAATCCAACCCCGCGGCGGTCTCCGACCGTTTTCTTGGCGAGCTTGGAGTCGTTATATGGGATCTCGTATTGGCCCATCAACGTGGACGACAAGTGATCTGACATGCGCAGCGCGACCAGGCATTCCGAGGGAAAAACAGAGGAGGGAAAGCGGAGGGGCAAGGGACAACTTTAGAGGGAAAACGGGTGCAGGACTCAGAGCGGGTTCTGACGAGAACGACGACGCAATGAAGCAAGGTAATGGCCTGACAAGGGGGGAAAAAGAAGCGAAAATCATTTCGAATGAGAGTGCTTACTCATGCCGCTTTTGACTGCCAACGCAGCTGTCACTATCGCCATGAGGAACACTGCATCAGGGCCCACGTATGTCAGTCAGTACGCGCGAGTGGTACCACCGCCACGGAAAGAAACACCCGTACAACCTTCACTTGAGCTTTCGTCGAGTTGCTGAGACTGCAACATATTTGCTTCATTTGTCCTTACCGAATAAAAATGCGATTCGCAGGCGCGATGCAGCCATTCGGAGCACTCGTACGAACTATTTCGTTGGGAAGAAACAAGTGAGAAGAGAAACCAAGGCTGCGTCAGGCCAGTAATCCGAAAGTTGGAAAAGCCTAACAGTTTTTTTCTTCCTTCCCACTCGAACGCCCCGAGCGTGGAACCCGCGATTTATCCGCACGGAGGCTTTGTCAACAAATAATTATGACGAAAACAGTTGCGAGAGTGTAAAGTTTCTACTTCTTGCATGTCGAATAGAGTATTGAGTTGACTTGGCGTCGTTCGCGCATAATGACGAAATGTCGTGGCGCGAGTTGGATTTTTGAAGAGCCGATGCGCGGTGCGAGGGGTGTGAATAATGGTGCACAAATGGTGATCAGTGGCGTATCAGTGAGGAAGGGGAGCAGTTGGAGGGGGAGATGAGGTTTGCGGGGGTTGGGGACTGGAAGGCGAATGTTTTCAGCTGCTGCTGTTCTATTGGGAAAGGCTGGAAATAGACAAAAGGTGTTACGAGTGCAATTGAGTGAACGAACGAGAATTGCACTATCGAAGCAAGAGTACAATGAGCGAAGGCATGAGCGAAGAATATATAGCGAAACTACAGTGGTAACGGTAATGGACTGTGGTTGTCGCGCGACGGGCCTGGGACTGAGGTTGGGAAAAGTGTCGAAGCGGGGGTCCGGAGCGCGGGTTACCCGCCGAGCCGTGAGGTCGGGGTGCGACGTGCGAAGGTGGCGGGCGGATTGTCGATGCGAGGGTTGCGAGTGGTAACGGTGCTGACTGTGGTGCTACAGTGATGTACGCGTTGAGCAGGGATGCGAAGGAAAAGGAATTTTCCTTACACTACCCCCCCCCCCCCTAAGGAGGTCCTCCTTACGAAAGTGCGTGTACATCCCTGAAATTTCGGCTGCGCAGATACTCGATGAGGACGGGGTGGTTTTCGATTCTGTCCAGGGGAACCCAATTGTCTTCGGTGGGTGAACGGTCCTTCCAGCGGAGTAAGAACTCGATCCTTCGGGCTCCTCGAGGGTCGCGAACTCTGTGACTCATGATTTTCTCGGGGGTGATGATTGGTTCAGTTGGTGGTCTTGTCATGCTGGCTGGGCGATTGCGTGGCAGTTGGCTCGTGGACGGGACGTAAGGGCGAAGCAGGCTGACGTGGAATGAGGGGCTGACGTACCAGTCAGCAGGGAGGAGGAGGTGGGCGGTGACGGTTGTAAGCATGTGGCTTATGCGAAATGGCCCGCAGTATCGGGGGCGGAGTTTCGGGGTGATGGGCAGTCGGAGGTTCTGAGTGTCAAGTAAAACTAAGTCGTCGGGCTGGTAAGTGACAGGTCTGCGGTGGCGGTCGGCGTTGCGTTTAGCGATGATGTTCGATTTTTTTATTGCGTCTGCTGCCCGGGTCCGTGCTGCTTGTAATATTTCGGCGAACTGTTGTGCTCGTGGTACTGGGTTGTCGGGATTCAGGGTCATGGGTACTGTCGGGTCTTGTCCGTAGTTTAGGTAAAATGGTGGCTGTTGGGTCGTGGCGGATGGCGAGTTGTTGTACGCGAATTCGATTAGTGGCAGTTGCTGTTCCCACGTGGTCGGGTCGTCACACGTGGCCCTGATGAGCTGTTCCATGGTCTGATTTGTCCGTTCTGTCTGTCCGTCGGTTTCGGGGTGGTATAATGAACTGAACTGCAGTTGCGTGCCGAACTGCTGCCACAGGTTCCGCCAGAAGTTGCTGGTGAATTTCGTGTCGCGGTCGCTGATGATCGCGGCTGGTATCCCGTGCAGTCGAACGACGGTGGAGATGAAGAGGCGTCCTGTTTCTTCGGCTGTGATTGATTTTTTGCAGGCTGCGAAATGTGCCATTTTCGTCAGTCGATCGACGACGACCAGGATCGTGTCGTTCCCACTCGCCCCGGCTGGTAACCCCGTGACGAAGTCCATCGTCACCTGCTGCCAAGCACGCTCTGGGGGTGGTATCGGCTGCAACTGTCCCGCCGACCGCTGTCGTGATGATTTCATGAGCTGACAAGTGGGACACGATGCCACGTGTCGTTGTACGTCGGTCAACATTTCGGGCCAGTAATAATACCGCTGCAGCTGCTGCCGTGTTTTTTCTACTCCGAAATGCCCCGAGGTAACTCCGTCGTGTGCCTCCTGTAACAGTAATTCCCGTAGCAGTGTATACCCAGGCACCCAAATGCAGACAGTCCCGGTTTTTACGTAATAGACTCCCCTTGCTGCTGCGAACTGCTGCGAATTTCCTCCTGTGAAGAATGGATCCGTTTGGTACCCGTGGGTGAATAGGCCTGTCAGTAGCGGGCTTGTCTGGGCGAGTAGTATTGCGTGGATCTGGGCAGTGGGGCGGGTCAGTGCGTCGGCGATGTTCGAGGCTCCCTTTTTGTAAGTGACCGTGTAGTGAAAGTTGGACTCCAGGAAATCGAGCCAGCGAATCTGTCGTGGGTTGAGGTGTGGCTGTGCGCGAAGGTACTGTAGTGATTTATGGTCTGTCCGTACTGTCACGTCCGCGCCAGTCAAGTAACATCGCCATACTTTGAACGCGTGCACGATCGCAAGCATTTCGCGGTCGTGTATCGGGTAATTTTTCTCGGGCGGATGCATTTTTCGTGACTCGTATGCGATAGGCTGTAGGCCATTGCCGAAATCCTGTAGCAGTACGGCTCCGATGGCGATATCGCTTGCGTCGGTAACTACTTCGAATGGGCGGTGTGGGTCGGCGATGCGCAGGACGGGCGGTGAACAGAGAACATTTTTCAGGGCAGAGAAGGCAGCATGCTCTTTCTCCCCCCACATAAAAGCGACCCCCTTCCGCAGTAAATCCGTCAGTGGGGTAGTTAACCGTGCCATATCGGGGACGAACCGACACACATAATTAACGAACCCTAAAAATCTCTGCAACTCCGTGATGTTCGTCGGGGGATGCCACGCTTTTACCGTATCCAGCTTCTTTGGGTCGATTTCAACTCCAGCCTCCGAAATAACGTGCCCCAAAAATTCTAGCCTATCCTGGAAGAACTCGCACTTGGAACCCTTGGTCAGTAATCTGTGCTCGTCTAAAACATTAAACACTGCTTCCAGATCAGCTAAGTGCTGCTGCTTATCCCGACTGTAAACTAGGATGTCGTCGAGGTAAAATATTACACATTTATCTAAGAGCGGCCTAAATGCCTCGTTCATGGTCATCTGAAAAGTCGCCGGTGCGTTGGTAAGCCCGAATGGCATCACAGTGTACTCGAACGACCCGTACCTAGTCATGAAAGTTGTTTTGGCGCAGTCCGATGGTTCGACCCTAATCTGATGGTAACCTCCCCGTAAATCTATTTTCGAAAAAACCCGTGCTGTTCGCAGTTGGTCGATTAGTTTGTCGGCGCGGGGAATGGGGTACCGCGACTTGACTGTTGCCCTGTTCAGTGCTCTGTAGTCGATACACATGCGAAAACCCCCGTCTTTTTTTGGCGTGAACAGTATCGGTGCGGCGAACGGTGACGAGCTCGGTCGGATGATTTTTTTCTCTAACAGGTAATCTAACTGCTTCCTTAGTTCGTCGAGCTCGGGCTGTGTCAGTCTGAACTGGCGCTGTACGGTTGGCTGTGCCCCCGGTTCTAATTCGATTCGGTGGTCATGTGCTCGCTGAGGTGGCAGTCCTTCCGGTAAGTCGTCGGGGAAAATCCCGGGGCATCGTTTCAACAGTTCCTGTAATTCGGGCGGTACGGCTGCCAGCAGCTTCTTGAAATCACTCGGCTGCTCTGCTTCCTCTACTACTGCGATGTCTACTGCGTACACGTCGGCTCCAGCAGCGACAGCCCGTTTCATTGTGATGGCGTTGACGTGTACCGTTGAAGACTCGGGCGACTGCCATCGAGGTAGCTCGACCCAGTTACCACTACTTCGCACGGGGCAGCTAGCCGTCGTCCAGTCAATTCGTGGGTTATACCGTCGCAGCCAATCACGTCCCAGTAAAATATCGTGCCCATCCAGTGTCGTTGCGAGCATTTCCTGTGTAAACCCGAAATTTCCCCTGCAGCGGACTTTGACCCTCTCTACCTTTTCCCGTATGGCCAGTGGCGTGCCGTCGACTAAGCGTGCGTCTATCTCCGGTAAGCAACGGCTAAGTGTCAGCTGCAGTTTTCGTGCGGTTGCGGTATTAACTAAACTGTGGCTTGCTCCTCCGTCGATAAAAATCTTCACTGCTGCTCCCTGTATTTTCCCGTGGATCAGTACTGGGCAATCCGTCACTGTACCCTCCTTATTCGGCCGAGTCCGATCGATAGCATGAATCGGTTCTGTGACTCGGTGAGGGTCGGTGGGGTTGGGCGAGCAGGCAATCTCGTCAGTAGTTGGCCCGATTCCTACTGACTGCTGGCGTTTCCCTGCCTTGGAGACTCCCTCCCCTGCTTTGCTCCGCGGCGCCTTAGCTCCTCTGGGCATTCGCTCTTGCGATGGCCCGGTCTGTTGCAAGCAAAGTAGCGCCCCTTAAACGGCGCAGCAGCTGCATTCGTCGCAACAACGTGTACAGTGGCGTGCTCGATCGGTCCCCGAGGACGATGTCCATAGTAGGACCCCGGTCTCGGACGGCATAAAATGTCGATTTTCTCGGTGAGCGTGAGAATCTCGTTGTAGTTCGAGAGTCCGCGCAGCATGATCTCGTGCGAGATATCCGGCTTCAGCCCTCGGACGTAACGGTCCACCCGCTTCGCTTCGTGCATGTAGCCGACTTGCTCGCATAATGCGAGAAAACCACTCGTATAGTCTTGAACCGATCCGAGCTGCCGCCAAGTGCGCAATCTCTGACGCGCCGAAATAGAAGCCGCGATCGGCTCGAAGCGCGCCCGAAGCC